TTCAGCATGTCTCACCGGAGGAATATGCGAAGCGGCGAGTTATTAACGCGAGTACAGAACTTCCACCCCGAATTAGCGCGATACCGCGCGAGAACGGCGTGTTTACACGGAGCGGAGAGAGAGAGAGAGAGAGAGAGAGAGAGAGAGAGAGAGAGCGAGCGGAGGAATAACGCTGCTTCGAAGACAAGACGCAAAGTCGAAGGCGGATATCGAGTTCAAAGTCGAGAGCGGAGTATCGTTTTCGCAGTTGAGTCACTATATGACGTGTTTAACAAGTGTGATCTCGCTCGTACAGCCGCGGGAATTCGCGTAGTCGGCCGCGGTTGATTGGCTTCGCGTTTATCAGCGGGGAAGGGCGCTACGAGACGGCGCGCGGTTATATCTCGCAACGCGTATGGGGCTCAGCCGTGTAACTTTCAGGAAAGCGGGTCGAGACGATGAAGTTGCCGAGCGCGATCGCGGATTTTACACACGCGAGAGAGAGAGAGAGAGAGAGAGCCGCGAGAGATAGAGAGTTAATGGGAGGGAGGGAGAAAGGGGACGGATTCTCGCCGGTATCTCGCGCGTAATCTATTCGCGATCGTATTAACCCCTCGGCGATGGTACGCGGTATGTACCAGCTGACGCGTAAAATCGCGTCCGACGAAAATCAAATTGTCACGAGCGAACGAGCGATTAAAGTAAATTGAATAGGCTTAACGAGTTTCCAGGAGATTAGCGGAAATGGCGCGAGCGTTGTAAGAGCGTGAAACAAGCGGACGCGGAGTCGGATGGAGACGCGCGCGGTCGGGGAACCTGACCGAACGAAAAGGCTCCCGCCCCTGGAACAGACGGAACAGAAGGGAAAGGAGAAAAAACCTTATCTCCCTGTTTCAACAATGATGAGAGAGCGAGAGAGCGAGAGAGAGAGAGAGAGAGAGAGAGAGAGAGAGAGCGAATCTTATCTGGTTGTTTGAATGGTGTAACTTTGCTTTCGAGTTATCGTGGATCAGACGTGAATATACATTAGCAACGTGCGCGTGTATGTATGTTGTGTATGTGTGCAATTTAATAAATATTTATCAAGCCCAGTGTGACTTTTCCAAGGATTTACGCAGCGGTGGAAAATGCGAGTTCTGTATTAGTGTATAAATCAGCCCAATTTATAGTCGTCGATAACGAAGTATCGTATTTATACGACGTTTATACATTGTACGCCGACGATAAATCGTCCAGTGAAATGGGCGATATATCGCGCAGGAGGAGAAGGAGGAGGAGTTTTACGAGATTCGCCCGCCGTTATAAATAAATTCACGTAAGTGCGCGACATCGATCTCTCCTCGCAATCGTGCCTGACCATCGATCAAACAACGCGGACGCGATGAGATTTCTCGTAAACTTTCAAGGATGAATAATTCGCGTTGCCAGATTATCGCTTAAATAATGTCTGGCCTTATCGCTTCACCAACTACCGCACGATACACGATGACGATATGCAATTGTGTGCATATCTGGTCTTTTCGTTTTTTACTTTAGATTGACTGCTATCCAACTCGTTCTGCGTGTCTCGGAAACTTCCAGCGAGTAATTTGGCCAATGTAGAGAGAGACAGAGAGAGAGTGTGTGTGTGCAGACCATTACGTTTCACGCGTAAATTAATGAGTCACGTCAGTATCAGCGCCAGTCACCGGCGACCACACACCGCCGCAGTGTCCAACGTGTTAACGTGTACGTTATAATTCGCAACGGATCCAACGTTGTCGCGATATTTTCGCCACTTAGTCGCGAGCGGCTTTTGAAAAACGAGCGCGAACTCGCGCGACGCGAAACTCTGATCGTCGAGCGCAGAGTCGCAGCGAGCGTTCCTCTTAAGCGTGTCTCCCTTTGTCTCGGATCGAGAATTCACCGATCGGTTTCCCATCGCAAACTTCGCGAAATTCCTTCCACTCTCGCGCGATAGAAATTACTCGCGGCGACGTACGCGCGCGGTTCTCTCTCAGTCAGCGACCGATAGCAACGCGACCTCTCTTTCTCATTGCAGGAACACTCGATCAGCATTACGTCGAGACACCGCCGTGCGACACTACTCTCTTGCCGTCTTTCTTCTCGAGTCACTTCCTGCGTCGCGCGGTGACTCACGTGAGCCGACTGCGGATTAAAACGCCGCCACGCTTCGTCGTCATCTCCGTCGCGAGAGAACCAATCGCGAAATCGTATCCTCGAGTACAAGAATAGCGACGAAGAACAGGGCCGCGCCGCGATCGCCGCCGATCCGAGCGAGAATGATCTGCAAGCGCAATTTTCAACATCCTCTCGCTCGTGACGTCACATTTTCATTCGCACTTTAAAGCGGATGTCTAACGACGCAGACTCGTAGCTGAGAGAGAGAGAGAGAGTTCGCGTGTTCCGCGAGATATATTAACGTCGATTTTTTGTCTTTATTTAAATTTTAATATTTTCATCTACGTTGTTCTTTACTTCTAAATATAAATGTCGGAAAATGTTCTCCCCCCTCCCCCTGTCCCTACCACGGAACGCCGTAGATCGCGCCGTAAATGCGGGTGAACGATCAGAGACGCGTCTCGCTTCTCTCTCGTTCAGCATCGATCCAAGTGTCGCCGAGTCAATATTTTTACACGCGATGCGTTCTGCGTCTCTGCCGGATCGAAGAAGAGACTCTTTAAACATTTTACGGCGATTTTCTCCTCTCTGCGCGCTGCGCATCCCCTCGTGTGTCTCCTCTTGCTCCTCTTCGCCGCCGCCACCCCCCCTCCCCGCCTCTCCGCCACTGTCTCTCACTACTCGCTTCATCTCTCTCTTTCCGCCTCCCTCGATATTAAAACGATTAATCCCCATTCTTTTCTCCCGTCACCGCGTCACGAGCTTCAACTAACGAGATTCGTGTCAACGATCGGATTTAAAAGACCGTAAAAGCTCGCGTTGTGATGAATCGACGCGTGGATCTTCCGCGAAAGCTCCACGGCACATTAATTAACAGGCAAATCCCGCGTGTCGGCGGGCGAAGACGCGGCGTAACGATTGAATTGAAGTTTACGCGAGTTTTATTCGGCCGGACCGAATCGAGACTCCCTTCGTTTCTCGGTTATGCTTCTTTGTTGCACTTGCCAGTTGCGCGATTCGCCGCTTTCTTCGCTCTCTGAAAGCCCGAGCCGCGTACATTTCATTTTAAAGACGCGCGAGAGACGACGGTGCAAGGACCTGAAACCCGCGGCTGAAAAACACGCATCTCTTTCCGGACGGTCTATTTTCTTCTTCGCCTCGCACTGCTCGCAGCGGGGTCCCCGAAAAAACATACTCCCGTAAACACGCGCTGACCATGGTTCCCTCCCCCCCCCCCGGGGGTTGGTTTTCCCCGTCTCCTTGTAAAAACGGAATACGAGGAATACGGGAGGAGATCGCTCGGGGGCCCCGAGCAGCCGCAGAGCGGTTTTCCGTCGTATTGTTTTCACGCCGCGCGACGATTCGCGCGGGTGCCTCGAAGGCACGCAGTTTTTACATTTCCGCGCGAGTAATTTACAGAAGAGTCTTCCGTACGGAATACACGAAAATATGGATGGCTAGCCAGCGGACAGACACACGGTCAAGCGAACCCGACATTTTCGTCATCAAACACACGCAACGTCGGCGGGACGAGTTCTTCGGCGATTGCTCGTTCGGCGATCGACTTTTATTCGTAAAATCTGATCTACGATATGTGCTTCCTCTTTTTTTTTTTCTTTTCTTATTCTTTGTCTCTTTCTATCATAAGGTGGGAAGGTTTAGGTCAGAAAAGGAAATAAGGAGGCAGAAACAGAAAGCGAGAAGCGTATTGCAGATGAAGCTTGAAAGCTGCAGGAAGCACGTTGGAGGCTCGCCGCGCTGGAGCAGTCGGGGGGATCGAAGCCTCCCGCGAGCGATGTTTGCGAGAACCGCGTGAACGATGCTCGCTCGCTCACGAGAAACACGCTCTTTCTATCGTCGCGTATCGCGAACAGCCGGGTGGGCCGTGACCGTAAGAGGAAACGCTAGTTGCCCGGTGCGGAACGAGCTTGCTCGCTCGCTCGCTCACCGTCGTCGATTCGCCGGCTCGCTGGGAAAATCATGAGGAGAGATAATGAAGGACGGGAGGAAGAGGAAAAAGGAGAATCGCCGCGTTTAGGAACGCCGTTGTTCCCCGACGAAGCTTTCTTCTCGCGGATCGCGTCTCTCTCTCTCTCTCTCTCTCTTTCTCTCAGCCGTGCCGAACGAGATCGGCGCGATTTCGCCAACCTTCCGTTCCGGAATCCGACGCCGTAGGCACGCGCGAAAATCATCCCCGCGTCTCTAGGGAGGACTTGCCCGACGGTGAATCCGTATCGGCGGCCGGTGGAAAAATCGCGCCGGTTTCGAGTCCCCCTTGACGGACGGACGGATAAACGAACGAATGAGCGCGAACCGCCGCCGCCGCCGCCGACACCACCACGATCATGACCACTACCATCGTCGTCATCACCACCACTACACCACAGCGCACCACCACCACCACCATAGTCGTCGTCGTTGTCGTCGTCGTCGTCATCGCCACCGCCGTCGCCGTGAACGATTTCCGGCGGCGGCAGCGGCGGTCGGTTCGGCGTGCCACGCCACGGCGATGCACGGCGCCTTCTCGCACGGGGTGCGGGCGAGCGGGCGGAAGGATCGCCACCGCGGATCTTTTTTTAGAAGCCGTACGACCCGGTCGGTCCTTACCTCCTCTCTCGTGCCTCCTGAAAGCCCCACGCTTGGTTCGCGGAACGCACAGTATCTCCCGGGTTTACTCGATAATTCTTCTTGCCTCCTCACCGTTGCTGTTCTCTTTCGTCCTCTCGTTCGCTCGCTCTCTCGCTCCGTCTACCTCTCTCACTCTTTCTTTTTCCGTCTCTGTCGCTCGCGCAAGTCGACTCGGTGGCTCTCGGGCGCGCACCACACGCACACACACACACACACACACACAACAAACACACACAAGCACGCAGCAGTCTCTTACTCCCTGTGTGTCTTACTCTCTTTCTCTCGTTCCCTCTTCTTGTCTCCCTCCCTCGCTATCGCGCTCTCTCTTTCTCTCTTCCTTTCACGCCTTCTCGTTGTCTCTCCGTCTCACGCGCGCGCTGCTCGTCCTCTCTTCTCTCGCGCGTTTCGCCTTCCGTCCGTCTCTCTTCCTCGTCACCAGGCGACTGAGATTTTCCGGCGATGAACCGCGCCGCGCGCTTCACTTCTACCTGACCCGGCTCGCTCCGACAACTCGACTCCACTCGATTTTCGCTTCGATTCTCCGTCGCCACACTGTCACGAGTTCATAGGGAGCCGCGGCGTGCAGAAGGAAAGCTCCGCGCGCTCTCGCTCTCGCTGTGAACGCTCTCGGGACCGAACACGGAACCGACGACTCGGGGGCAGGCTACTCAACTAGCCAGCCAGCCAGCCAGCCAACCAACCAACCGAACGAACGAACGAACGAACGAACGAACGAACGAACAACCAACAACCGACAGATACGACAGTGTCGCGGTCCGATTAATAGCCGCACTGGTCGAACGAATTGGAGTCGCGCGCCGCACGCCGCGAACGTACGTAGTTACACACCGAGGGGGGCCTGCTGCTGCTGCTGCTGCTGCTTCTTCTTCTTCTTCTTCTCTTCTTCTTCTTCTTCTTCTTCTCCCGTCGCCGCTGGTTTTTTGCTTTCGTGTCCCGGCGCCGATATCGGCACTGGTGCGAACCGATCGATCGATCGACTTGCTCGCGACTTCACAGCCGACAACGTGCGTGTCTCGAGGAGGACGACGACGACGACAACGACGACGACGACGCTGTTACGCGGACGGACGCGCCTCTCTGCCGCCGCCTTCTTCTGCCTTCCTGTAACCCCCGCCGCTCGATTTTCGCACTCTCGCGAGAACAGACAACGCGACACCACTGCGCGTTTCTACCGTTATCTAGGGCGATGTCTCTCTCGTCTCGATGCCGCCGCCGCGCCGCCGCCGTGCCCTCTACCTTCGTACACGCACCGCCGCCATTAGCATCGACGTGGTGCAATTGAGAAGTGCCGGTCACGCTTCTGCCGTACCGACCAAACGGAAGTCTGGTGGAAGTCACCAGAAGCGTGATGATTCCACGACGACGCGAATTTGCGGAATCGCACCGTGATCGCGATAGTGCAGCAAACAGTGCAGATTTCTACAGTTCTTTGACCCGTTTGGCTGTTGAACGCTTTTACTTTATACTCTCGAGATCGGTCCTTCTTTCTCTACTTTGATATCCGCAGGTATCTCTCCGGAGAGAAACAAGCAGCCGGGCTATCGAATCAAAATTGTCGCTCATTGTTGTTCCAACGAAGAGTTCACACTGCGATTAATTCCAATGTATATATCATGTCATATCATTCGATATCCAATAAGAAAGTTTGTTTCGTAGACGGACGAGAAAAGAGTTTGCTAGAGTTCTTCGAGAATTTTTCTATTGGATGTCAAGAATCCGTACGATGTCCAATGACAATATGACTTTTCAACTCGTCGCATCGAAATACTTGTGTCTTATGGGAGGACAATTGATAATTACGTGTGTAACTACGTTTACACGGCAAGGTTAATTCAGATTAGTAACAACTGTAGTTAGTGAATTCTTTGATTCGATTGGTATTATTCTTTTAGATCTCAAAATATATTCTAATCGGATTCAAGACTGCACTAACTACGGTAATTACTAAGTCGAGGTTAGAAGTCGTGTAAACGTAGTCTATATGCGAAATGTAACAACGGAGCATCCTTTATTTACATGCGTATCACTTACTGACATGACTTTGCTCATTTGAATTTGAGATGTTACGTATTAAAAATAATATCGGAAGAAGTCTGTAATACTACGTCCTAAAGAGGCTAAAAATTTTAAGAGAATTTATAGGAAAACTTGGAAAAAATTAATATATTTACTAAATTGTCGTGTATGACAGAGATTTCGCACTTTAATATAATTTTCTATAATATAAATCCTAATAATCCTGAGGAAACGGGTGACGGCAGGCTTGGATGCTGAATGTGTAAAAGTAACAATATAACATCTCAAAATGAGACCTGACAGCCCGCTTAGTCGCAAATTAAAATTTGCGATTCAAGCAGAGATTTTGCGAGCGCATCAACGAGATGTCGATTTCATGGAACATCAGCGGGAGAAGTTGTCCGAAATATTGCACAATTTTGGATTACATAAAAAATGGTATCGATATATCCAACTCGACGCTCCATTCAAATTGATTTACTTTGTCTTCACATCAGGCATGGGTAATCAGACGTTGGGTGAAGAGTATACTGGTATAGTACAAGCTAATCTGAAAGAACTCAAAGTCCCATCATTGACTGTAAGTTTTCAAAGTTTACATCATGGCCAACTCGTATATTGGTATTGCACTGAGTTCATCTTGTAAATCCAGATGAGAATATTAGCCATCATGTTGGAGATTTTTGGAGAAAGGATATTGCTCAAATTGCTGAGACAACTGCAAGCACAAGTTAATGAACCAGATAACCAACTGACCACAGAAGCGGTAACATTCTTAAATATCTTCCTGTTCAAGTTACGTGCCACAGTACCTATACTTGTACTATTCCACAAAGGGATATTCTACATATATGGTAGATTCTACAGCTGGGGTAGAAGAATCACTGACTTAGATTATGCGAAGGTAATTTTTACTACATTGCAACTAGAAATTTACAATACATTTAACAAGTATCTCTCAACTGTGTTGATTTACAGATATATGGTCAACAAGTATCCACTGTCAGTTGGGGATTAAAATTGTTAGGAGTTATCACTATAATTCAAAGTCTATTAAGAATTTGGCATGATGATGTGCCGCAGGATACTATTGCTATCTCAAATTCATCCGATATAAACTACGCCAGCCATAATTGTCAATTATGCCTTGAGGCAGAAGCAACAACAGCAACATTGTGTGGTCACTTATTTTGTTGGAGATGTCTTAGTGACTGGTTACGTAACAAGTCACAATGTCCATTTTGCAGGGAACATGTGCCACCATCAAGAATTATACACCTGATGAATCTTTAACTTTCTATGTAAAATATATTCTTTAAATGTACATGAGAGCTTCATATTGTACTGTACATAGCATGTAAAAATTGTATAATATATATGTAGAAACTTTATATTTTACGTATAATTAAATATTTGTTAACATATATGAAGAATACTTTCTCATGTTTAGCACATTGAATGTCCTGTGTGTGTGTGTGTATGTATATATATGTGTATGTGTGTGTATACATATATACACACATATATATATATATATATATATGACACATGTGAAACGTTACACATATAGTATATATTTTAAGTGGCAAAATTCAATTTTTGGAACAAAATGAAAGTAAATTTGCATAATAGTTTTATTATGATTTTGTAACACACACATACACATTGGGGAGTTTTATGTACCTCCTAAATCATATAAATCATAAAAACATTATGGTTCCCGATTTAAATTTTTAACTGATCTTCAGAGACAAGATGGTAATAGAGTTATTTATCTTTATTTCTTAGAAATTTATTAAGATAATGGAGACACAGTCAAGATTAACTTGAAATTTTTTATTGGTCATAGTCTGTATTATGTACAGATATATACAGACATAAGTAACCGTGAATAACGAGAATCAATAACGAGGGGACTTCTGCCACCACAAAATATCCAAATTATTACTCGGGTGCCAAAGTCAAAACTTTGAAAGTAATGCTGCAATATTTATTGTTAAAAAAAGTTACATGTTGCGTATAAACGTACAAAGTTTGGTACTCCCTGTGTGCCATGCTACATAACTAAAGTCATTATTTCCATATCAGATTCCGAAAGAATCTCATATCTCTTTTGAGTAATATGTATTTCATGGCACTGTGATAAACTACAATTGAGAATCACCATTGATTCCCATGGCAGCTGAAGAGTCAATACTATAATCTTATACGACAAATAAAATTGATAGTGTAACATATATATATATATATATATATATATATATATATATATATCAATGTAGACATATACAAAAATATCAAGTTTTATTCAATTATCTTTGCACATAGCGTGCTACAACTCTTATGCAACATTTGTAAGAAAGAGGGAGGGCGAAGCAATAAAATCGTCCTTGAACGAAACAATAACATGTAACCATCTCATTCCTGAATCGCGGTCTATAAAATTATTAAATTGATATCATTAACAATAAATTGGCGCCAAAGAAGCCATTCAATGACGTCTTATCCACAAAGCTGTGTGCGTACAGTGGAAATGACCGACTTTTTTCACGTAGTTAACAGCACTAGATTAACGTACTGGTCAGGTCGACGTTACCCGTCTCGCTATTCCTTCATCCGAAATCCAATATGTGGATAGATCTTATAAAATATACTTCGTAGACATTTTAATCGTTCCTTGCGCACTCTATAATCAAATTCAAAACACAAATCATGGATTAATTTCGCGGAAGAAAGAACAATACGCAAATTATTTATAAGCTCATTGGCACCGGAAAACTCACTGTATAACTTCGTCGATGTTCTCCGCGGAAGATCCTCGTCCATTTACCGAAGGAGATATACGGTATCCGAGTGTGCAAGTTTTACAATGAGGCTTACAATCCGAATCAATAGACCACACGGTGTCTATCGGCGGTGCATTAACAGTCGTGGAGCCACATAAACTACCAGTCCCGGATACTAACTGCCACGATCCAGTCGAGGATGTCGAGTCGTTTCTTTGTCGAAGACCAGGATTGCATGGTATGGGGACTCCGACCGGAGACGTGCGACTCGCAGATAATGATGGACGAGAGCCTCCTGCGATATTGACTTCCTTCTTTGGAGATGTCTTAAGCTTGCCAGGTATAGTATTCCTTCGGGAATTTCATCGGGATATGAGATTGATCGATATGCTCGAAGAGAGAAGATTCTCTTAACTCAAAATAAATCATTGAAGTGAGCATACCCGTTGTCTTCAGAGTCATCCTGACTTTCCACGGGAGATTCGACATGAAACACAGCTGGTGGTTCGCTATCCGCGCTTGTTTGGTTATCGGAGCTGGTCGAGCTGTTGGGGCTTACATTAGGGTTCAGTATTTCAAAGGATTCGCTGCCAATCACGAAATTATCCGGTTGTGAATCGTTGTGTTTAACGCTATCTGGATGCTTGTGTATGCTGAATTTATCGTTGTAAATATGTTTCAGGAAATAAAAGCAGAAGAAGAATATCTCCTCTCCTTTATTGAGCCGATCCTCCAAATTATGCCCAAAAAGCATCCAATCGTAGGCGATAGTGTAGTAGAGCAGTTGGTATGAATTCAACGTATGATGGATCACTCCGTCAGCCCACAAACTAATTCTCAATAACGAAATAAATAATGGCGTACGGTCCCAACCTAAAGATGATGATGATAATGATAATAATAATAATAATAATAATAATAATAATACATTAACTTTGCTGCAAATGAGAAATCTCAGCCAAGCAGCAGTACTGATGTTTCACTCGCGTACCTGAGATACAATGAATCAATATCCCGTCGTTACTGTCGCTCAAGTATCTCAGTATTAATCTTAAATAGTTTTGCGTTAATTTGACTAGATCCCACGTTGTGTATAGATCCCAACTGATCCGCAATTGATTCGATATCGAGTCTTCAGGTACAGAAATTGGAGCATCTACGTAATTCTGATACCAATCGAATACCAAGCCCTTGGGCAGATAATCGTGTTCTCTAAATTCCTTGAAGAATTCACATCCAGGATATGGCAGTGAAACGAGAGTAAAATGCCTGTATCTGTTTTCTTTGTCTACCTTCTCCGAGGAAGTCACGCTGGGTACCAAACAAAAGAGCTCTGTTTAAGGGTCTCTAAAAGTGGATTCACAGAATAAAAGACTGCTCATGCTAAGAACTATTATGGGAATTTACTGTGTCTATACGAAGGTAAACATTTTTTTAATAAGATAATAATCATTATCTATTTGAGCAATTTTCTCTCTTTTGTCTCAGTTACATTCTTTCCTCACTACAAGTGTGTATTTACTCACATAATATCTTTTGTTCATTAGTGGAAGAAACATAGTTAAAATAAAGAGCCGTCTTTTTCTTCTTTCTTTCTTTCTCTCTTTCAATTATACATAAATTCTGTGCTTCCAATTGCAATGATCATACTATTTTTTTATTTACACAATAAGGGATTTAACAAACCCGGATAATTCTGTTTTTCTCTTTGTGTCTTTAAACGCTTGTTCTATGTCATAAAGTCATAAAGTCATGCAATATACAAATATGTGAAAGATATTTAGTGTCGCATCCTTACTTCATCCCATATTTAACTTTCTTCTTTTCAACCATGAAGTCTATGATAGTATCTACCATAAGTGCCCTCAAAAGCCTTATATCTTGCGATCTAACTCTATCCAATAGTTGCCAATCAGTGAACATTGATTGTCCCATGTAATCTTCCCTCCAAGGTAGAGGCTTGTCCATCCGTTTGATCCGTTCGTGCACGGAATGATGATCGTCGTCACCGCCAAAAAAGTAATCTAATCCGGCTCTACCATAGATTTCTGGCCCGCCGGACAACGTCGCCGATCTGCACACGTGCTTACCCTCGTAAAATATCACCGGTACCGGGAATCTCGAGCGACACCTGGCATTTCTCGCGTCTATCATGAGTTTTTTGAGCTTGTTGGGATCGTACATGCTATAAACTATGTTGTCACCTATGTTTCCCTTTATGGACAGCATTGACCGCGAATTCGAGCATATGATTGGACGACACTTGTCGTTTCTAAATATTATAAGATGGCTAGGATAATGCGCGCAAAGATCGCCATTGCTATTATCGACTGTAAAATAATTGTAATCTAAACCAGTGAGCAGCAGGCATCGTTGCATGACGGCTTGACTCTGCAAAGATAATTGTCTTGTTAGATTACACAAAAGAAAGTATACAATAATTGCGCAAACACACATATATATATATATATTTGTTGGACAATTACTGTACGATCTGCTTCTCTGGTCCTGTAGGTGGTTTTTGAGAAATGTTCGACAAGTTCCTGTAAATCTTGCACAGTAATATCAGACATGATTTCTTGCGGCTTTATCTAGTTGCACCTTTTGACTTGCTTGAATAATCTTCCTAAGGAGGCACTGAGTTCTTGAGACAGTCACAATTAAACTCACGAGACATTAGCTGCTGGTATCTTGCATGGCAGAGACACAGCACAAACACTTATTTCAAGGTATATGCACATGTGACAGTGTAAATTGACATTCATCAAATTCTTCTTAGCAGGATTCATCTTCAGGTTGTTACATACAATTTTCTCCATTCAAAAATGTTCCGTTGTATGTGTAACATTCGATACATTCTACCATATACTCTATTCTTGCACAACTGTGTGACAATCATATTATCCTAATGACCTTTCCCAAAACAAATCACAGATCAGAAATATTTATGCCTTTATATCTTATATACACATAAATATATAACAATTTGCTTTTTTATTAGCAAGCTAATAAATATATTAAGAATATGAAAAAGTCACATTGTCAACTTAAAATATATGAATATACTCTTTACCGGATACTTTACAGGGTAAAGTTTTATATTAATATTGCACTTTATCTGTGGAATTTGACAAATTTTGATACACAGTGAATGGAAGAATTTGTACAACATACTCTTCAGAACAAAGAGAAATGGAATTAAATGTCCACAGAAGCTTTTCACGAGTACATTGAGATAATCTTCAGCTAGCAAAACAAACAAGCCGTGACCCAAGATTATTGTCGTCAACCATTTAAATAGGAAATTACTAGACATGTTTATAAAAAATGTTTGATAAACGAGGATAAAAGAAAAAAAGGGACAAAGTACAGAGAAAATCATGTATTAAACGCCGAAGAATCCACCGATTATGCTAAATAGAATTTTTTTCTATTGCGCACAGCTATTCACATAACTTTTGATATGCGTGCACGTGTCGCGAACTTTAACGACGAACATTCACACTTCATTTACTTGTCCGTACATTCAATATACACCCACTTTCTTATCACGAGGATTCAACGAGTGATACCGTATCCCTACTCAGTAGGTAGATATTCACTGATTAACGAAGCAGACGCAGAAACTTTTCTTGTATGATCTGTATCGAAAAAAAACCCACTCGCTCGTATCACTCGCGCCTAAACTAGCCTTATAAATTTGCAAATTAAAATTTTATCAACTGTAGCACAACGATTGCTCGCGAATACGCGAAAAATAAGCAAGACAGAAGGAAACAAGAGCAGGTAATTCTCCCCTCTCTCTCTCTCTCTCTCTCTCCATACAACTTAGCACGGCCAGTTTGCTCGGCAAGGATCAATCGCGCGTACAATTAATCGCGAGTTAGACGCGCGCGAGCGCTTCCCACGGCCATAATTTTATCTCTCTCTCTCTCTCTCTCTCTCTCTCTCTTTCTCTTGACGACCCCATGGGATTAATTATTCGCGTGCCGCGAACGTGTATAACCTACAAACGTCGACCACGCCGGCCATTCACTGAAAACCACGCACCGTTGAGTGTCCCACAGCGGACTGATGGGCGCGGATGGACGGACGAAGGAAGGAAAGAACGAACAGATACGAACGCGATGACGCGTCGACTTTGTTACACAACCTGTATTTTTCCGTCTCGTCGTGGCGCCGGCACAGTTACCAAAATTCTAAAAATACATTCTCGCGATTGCACGCACGTTCCAACGCACGTTCCTCTCGGTAACACGCTCGCACACGGCCGCTCTTTTTTTCGCGCTCTCGCCGATAAACGACACACGCATCGTTCGCGTCCTCGGCCGTTTGAACTCTCGCGTGTTTGAATCTTCCGTAGTGCCGATTCTGCGGCGGCCCGTTGATACGCGTCTCCCTATCGCGGTCACGTTTCCGCGTCTCTCAAGCCCACTGACGTAGCCTTGATCAGCTTGGCGAGACACGCGCGACCGCTGTCCTTTCCTCCCTGCATCCCGCATCCTCATTCTGACTACGCCGTTCCCCGCCCGTCATTTCCTCGCCATCTTTCGGCGACGTCGCGCTCGTCGTATGCGCGTGCCGCGTTGATCGATATACGTTTATAAGCTTCGCCAATTAATTCCTTCGAACGAAAGCCGCGCGAAACCGGCATTCGTCTCAGTCGCGCGCGCCGATTTTGCGTCTCCAGCGAGAGATATGCATCCACTACCGCGCGCGGAAAATCCGTCGATACGTATCCTTCTGCGAGGTGTATGTCAAACTGTACCCGTCAACTGCACCACAGTGCAGGTACAAGTTAATTAACAATTAATCCGTCGTAATCAGCGACGAGATACTGTAAAGCCTTACTGCGTTAGCCTTATGGGATTTAGGCCCAGTTGCACCAACATTATTTTGGTTTCAAGTGAGACTTTAATATATCTTTGTCTTTATTTATTTAGTAAGAAAGATAAAGATAGACTTATGTTTAAGTCTCACTTAAAACCAAAATAATGTTGGTGCAACTGCAACCTAATAGCACAGATGTCCACAGGACGTTCACAGAGTACGTCTTGAGGACGTCCTAGGGATGTTTCTTCATGCTCATGACGTCCTCTAGGACGTTCCCAGGAGAACATGTGCTATCAGGGTAGATCTTGGCATATCATAAACGGTCTATAATAGATGATTTAAACTTTAGGCTATAAAAAATTAACTAATCACAGTCGAATGTGAGGAAAATAATTGACTGCGATTGGTTAATTTCTTACGGCTCAAAATTTAAATCACTACCATCGTAGACTGGGACTTCGAAGAAATCTTGCTGTGCATTAGAGTGCCCTCTTAGGAACATTGTGGACGGAATATGAAACATAGCTTGCAATAAGCGTGGATGGTAACAGATATAGAAAAATGAGAAAAAGGTATTGCAAAGTATCAGAGAGGAACGCGAGAGTGGCCAACCAACACGGCGTCTCGGCAACACCGACTTTCCGCACTGCGAAAGAGCGCCATCTGCATCCATTTTGAAAGGGGAACTACGATACTACATACGCTTTCAGGTTTCGGCGGTAAAACCTGCATGTAATTATATCCATTTTCAGGCGTATATGTCCGTGTTACAACTATAACAGCGTACTCGACAAGCACGGTCTCGCATATTGTTATGCGTTTACAACATGAACTAATAGGTTAACATGTGCAAAAAAAAGAATTGACATTGTGTATGATTAAAATCATGAAGATCAGACGAAGTGTCTGATAATTAGCTGCCAACCCGAAATGTGAGAATAAATTGGGTTGAGACAAACAAGTCCCATACCGTTTTGCGAAATTCGCAATAATTATAAAGTTGTATCTTGAGTCGTTTAGGAGATATCGAAGGTTAAAGTTTTCCAGCTTGTACCGTTGATATCTCCGCTTCTACTGGGAATTGAGAGTCGAAATTTATGGTGAGAATAGGGTTTTTAAAGGACTATATTTTGACCAAAAAGAAAAACAGACCTGTATCTCTAGCTGTTTAGGAGATATCGAAGGTTAAAGTTTTCCAAATTGTTCCGTTGATATCTCCGCTTCTACTGGGTATTGAGAGTCGAAATTTATGGTGAGAATAAGGTTTTTACAGGACTATATTTTGGCAAAAGCGCGTTCCTATGTCTTGAGTTCCTATGTCCGTGAAGAAACTGGTCGGAGGACGTTCGCAGCCGCGGTGGAATTTGACGCTCGCGTTCGCAAGGGCCTAACATTCTACTCGCGAAGGGATGCCATCGCTCCCCTCCCCCTCTTTTCACAACGACGCGGATGTTTAACTTCTTTCTTCCTTATTTTTCGCGACAACGATACTGCGACGAGGCTCGAACGAGGCAAGTTCGCTTATAACCTACGTTTATGTTAAAAGCGCTTCTCGGGAACATTCCGCTCGAGGGGTTAGTCCGCGATGGAAAGTTTCCTGCTACCGGAGGCCGCTGTGGTTTAAAGTTAAATCGCAGCAAGAGCATTGTTATCGGGCAGCCCTGAGACAGGATGCTGTCATCCGTCCGTGACATTTGCTGCACGCCTATGCAATTATCGGCAAATTCGGTTTTCTCGATTGTTTCCGCGATTTCAAGTAGCCATAATATATGGCGATGATACATAGCAATATGTGGCAATAATATATGGCAATAATATATGTCAACAATATATGGCATCAATATATGGCAACAATATGTGGCAATAATATATGGCAATAATTCATGGAATATATTTTTCGTTACAAAAGTCAATGCAAATTTGCGGCATGCACAATGTAATAATAAATGAGCTCTCTGCGAGCATTGAGTCAAACGCTCACCGATGATGATATTGATGATGTTCCATTGCATTCAACTAGATCCACCAATGTTCGTTCATGTGCGCTGCCGCTCTCCGTGTTGCGCAGCATCCATCTTGCAGCGCGTCCCACGTTGATTGCTACACTTTCGCCACACTTCCGCGACGCGGTCGATACGCGGTATTAGAGCGGCGATATTTGCGTCAATTAACGAACGTTTTACGTTGACATCGGTGGAAACTTTTTACGCGCTGCGTAACGGACTCTATATAAACTCTATCGGAGCAAGAACCGTGTGAAAATTTATCGACTCGTCCAACGGATTTTTACGACGCTTTTCGCGATCGCGCCTGAAAAGTCGCGAAAATGCGGAAGTATCGATATCTACGAGAATATTCGCGAATACATGCGAGGAAAGATTAGACAATTAGAAACCGCGGTCACTCCGAGGGAGCGCAAAGAGAGAGAGAGAGAGAGAGAGGCAAAGTTTTCGCACATGATAGTTCCGTCACGACGAAGCTTACGTTCGCGATACTTTGGCGAAATGAGAATTTAAGCTTTCTTTGTTGTAGCAGCGCGGATAAAAACGCGTATATTGATAACCGCGGTCGCGATGTTCAAAGGCACGCGAGCGAGGATACCTCAAGCTCAGCGTGCGTTGGCGCAATTTCTGCGCGCATTATACGCTACTCGAGACAATAGGGATCGTGATGAATGGACAATATTGCCAAATAATTGTACAGCCTGTTTTGCAAATAAAAGAAAAGTAGCCAACGGTATCGGCATTTGTGCATATGAATATATTTTACACGGACAATTGAATATTGTCAAATAATTGTCGTTAAATAATTCCGCTTGAAAGATGAAAATAAAACAGCTGACAACGGTATCGCGTTTGTAGACATGAATATCTCTTATTCAAATGAACATTAAAAAAGAATCATTCGGTATTTTAAATCTCGTATGTAATGCAGGCTATCGATCTATCGAAGTAATCCCCTGATTGTTTCGAGCAATGTATTTTATTCAACGTCACACAAACACACACATGCAAGAATCTATCTGCAATTTGCATTGACTCGAACGATATTTTTTAGTCCCACATCCGTCATGCAGAAATTTGTTTCTCTTTTTATTTTGACTCACCGAAACGACTTGCAGTCAGAGCCGGCCACGTTCCGCTTCAACTCTGTAACAAAAAATTCACATTTGCTCATTAGATCAGACCAACGAGTACGGGCGAATAAAAAAGTAGTTTATCCTCTACGATCGTAATTCAAGTCGAACCGGAAATTATATCCCAGTTCTAGATCGCCAAGGGTCAAACAGAGGACTATAGTAAACTTATAAACTTACCTTCAAGCCGACTCTGCTTGGCCCGAATCGAATCCTCCGATGCGGCATCCGCGTTCGCTGGATTGCTATTGCTTTCAACAACTGAAACAGAAAAATAATTTTCCCGGTTGATAATCTGCGGTAGAGAGAGAGAGAGAGAATGAATATCTTTGATCGAGACGGATCAAAAATACTGAAATATTTTGATACGGAATTTTTATCTTTATATTTTTGTTTCAACATTGAAAATTTAAATGAGCCTTGGAGCTTTCAAGAGAGCTGATGAGGAACAAGTTGCAAAGGCAAAGATCGTAAAGGGTTGAACACAAATGTGTAGGAAACTTGTAAACTTTACCTTCCGACCGACTCTGCTTGGCCCGAACCGAATCCTCCGGTGCGGCATCCGCGTTCGCCGGACTTGCTTCCCGCAACGTCTGGAACAAAAATTTAGCGTTCTTGGTTGGTAAGCTGCGGTAGAGAAAGAATGTTTGGTTGGGATGAGTGGAAAATATTCGCTACGATTTCTTTTCTTCACTGACATTGAAAGTCTAGATACTTGGACTTGGAACTCTTGAAAGAGCTGACGAAAAAAGATAACAACAAGAAGCGGAGACAACAGTTGTGTGCTCTCGAAAATACTCTTTTACGAATGAATATTTAAATTTAGATCCCATAACGAGAGTAAACAGACTTGAAAGAAGCGCTGACCGAAAACAAAAAAGGTCGCAGTCTAAGAAGAGCGGTATGACGTTGAATATTTTACATAAGACCGGTATACGCATACAGTTGGGAATTATTCAGAATATTTGATTGAGAACATAATGAAGAGATCCGCGTTCATGGACCGTTATCCGTCTCTGTCTGGATCAATACCTGTTGTATACAACAACGCAATAAATAGATAGACAGACGAGAGTAATTGCAGATTCATAAAGTCATGATTACTAGTCGGATGATGACGGATTGTGAATGCCGAGCGCGAAATTCCGAAATTCATATTCCCGGAAAATTCGTAAAATGTCCGCTCTCGTTATCGGAGACCTCCCGCATAATAAATGATTCCACATACCTGGAAACGTGACGTATCGCTGCCGGCTGCTGGAGTCCTTCGGATTTCACTCGCTCACACTTCTAATGCCGATACTCGCGATTCGACCGTGCGGTTAATCAACGCGATATGCCGATTGAGTATCTCGAGGAGCGACGAGATACATTTCTTTCAATAAACACGAGACGGAAGTGATGAGCGCGTCGCGCACGGCTGCTGCTGATGGAATAAGGTCGAATACGCGAGGCGCACGAGTATTAATACGAAGGGCAAAAAGTGTCATCGCTCGCGAGCCGATCAAAACAATCGGCGCGATATAAACATTGCGGGCCTCGGCGGCCCGCCGTTCAAGCAAGAGAGACTTGCCCTTGGGCGTCTTTTCTTTTCTCGAAAGTTCCGAGACAACGAGGGGAATGCGAGGAAGCCTTTCAACTGCACGCGACATTGATTTACTATTTATTGATTACCGAAAATAAAGAAAATTATTCTGTCGAAGCATCGGATATTTGTTTTCAGAAAATAATTAAAGGTCATGATTGTGTTAAAAAGTGAAATTTTATTCCATGCGAATTTTGTCTCGTTCTTAC